CGCCTCCTGTGAAACCAGCCCCCCTTTCCTTTTCACACGATTTCACCCCATAAGGACTGTGCCATGGTACAGAAATACTGATTTTTAATTCGACAGTGATAAATGGTCAAACTGTGGGCACGGATCCCCTTTTTTTCCCGCAAAAAAAGAAAAAATTTAGTAAAGCTGTGTGGAGAAGGCAGTTCTGAGGTTTCGTGTTCCCGATACAAAAAGCAAATGAAACGCACACCACGATACACTTCTTTTTATTTTTAAAAGGTTGTATAAAAACCCGCAAGACTCTCGACATCAAAAATCCTTAACCTAAAAAAATAGCACCAGGGAGAGTTAGAAACCTTTAAAAAGCATTAAAAAGGCATTTCTGAAATCTACCTCTCCTTACATTTTTATAAACATGTAATAAAAGGCAGCTCTTACAGGGAAAAAATATTTCAAGGAAGACTTGTCTACTACAATTCTTATCAAGTACGCTTAATGCCAAGACAATTCTCATTCCTCTTTTATCTTTGTTTACTTTCCCCAACTCCTTTTTTATTTTTTTTCCCTCCCGTCTATTTATTTTTCCTTTTGATCAGATAGGAAAGGATGTGAGATCTGGAGTACGAAATGAGAGATGCCACGAGGTGGGGGTTACGTATTAGCCCGCTTTGGGAAAATAAAACTCGCCCGAGGATGTGACAGCAGAGAACGGCCGTCACCCCCCGAGCCCCGCGTGGCTCTGTACGGGGGGATGAGTGCTGGGACTCGTGTCCAGGCTGGACGTCCTCCCCGTCGCGGGGCTGGCCAGCGGATGCTGCTTGTCCCCAAGCTCTTGCCCAGCGTGGCAGATGCCAACAACGTGGAGATGTGGCTTCCTCCAGCTTTTTTTTAGCTGAACAGAGAACCAACCTCAATGGGAAGAGTAACCTCTGAGCAGGACCAAGGTAGAGACTGTTTTTAACTTCCTCCAGGCTTCCCCTTCCAACCCTTCCCGAGTGCAGCCGTGGGTTGGAGACCAGAAGAGGGTCCTCAGAGCCTGAGGATGGGGCAGAAAGCTGCACACAGGGGTGAAAAATGGGAGGTTCCCTCCTCTGGGGCGGGGGGCTGCCGTCCTCCACTGCCTGTGAAGCGGGTGCAGGGGGGGCCCCTGTGTGCCGGAGAGGTAGAAGGAGCCGGGAGAGCAGCTCTTGTTTCCCACCGATGCTGCCCGACACCGCGCGAGCCAGCCCAGCGTCGGGAAACCCGCCGAGTTTGCATCGATTTGAGAAGGCACCCAAGGGCTCTGCCAGAGCCAGGCAGGAGGTCGTGGTGAACAGCAGAGGTAGAGGAGGGGGCACAGAGGGACCAGGGAGGGGGAGAATGTCACGAGTTGTTTCAGTGCATTGAAATGTGCATCGGAGTCAAAGAGCCCCCGGGAGACGCCGGCCGGGACAGCACCTACGGGAAGGCGGGCAGAGGGACGGGCGCCCACACTGCCCCGGGCGGCCGTTGGGACAGCGTGCCATGCCCT